ATTTACAAGAAAAGCCCTAAATTCATTTTTCGTTTTTCTTTCTGTAGCTCTGAGGTGACAATGAACATTTAGGGCTTTTCTTGTAAACTCTATAACTTTGCAAAGAAAGGTCGTGCAGAGTTGGGAGATGCCTGGTTTTAATTAGAAATTTATGGATTACAATTACGCCTCATTAAGAAAGCTTTTGGTTGCGCATCAGAGTTTCTCAAAAACTGGTTTTTCAGAAAACCGATCTTTGAAAGCCTAGCAGCAGCATTCATGGTGATATTCGGAATCAGCATCGTCGGCTACCTATAGTCCACTTGGTTTCGTTGAAAAAGCGATTTATCAGTTGGGGTACTTCCCTCGTCAGTGGAATAAGTTTTCACACTTTTTCGTAATACGATCTGAAAATATATCAGAAATCTTTGTCCTTGTATAGCATATCAATGATACATGCAAAAAACTGAGTTTTTTTCCCTGGACCTGAATATGAGGTTTTTTAGGTAATTCTTAATCCAAAATATTTGTATTAAAAACTGAGGCCATATTCAGAATCGACTCGAATGTAGTTTTCGAACATTTTCTGACATATTTTTCCAGTCAAAAACTTTCACCTGATTTCATCCTCACGCATTATTGATAAAAAAACTAACAATTTTTAGAATAAGACTTTTTCTTATATGAATACTATTTTCAAGTATAGAGAGAGTCATTCTGAGTCAAAAGTCACCATTTTCGATGATAAAAAAAATTGATGCCAATATGACAACTGTTCTTTGACATTAATTATCAAAATGTTAATCAAGTGTAAGAAATGCAGTCATAGCAAACAGAAGCTATTAATGAGACAGTATTCTAAATTAATGAAATCACTGTGAGTCAAAGATGTGATCTAGGAGCATCACAAGTGTTTTATTAAGAAAAGTATTTTTCAGGAATGATGTTTATCTCTATTGCCATTTTTCATCAACTTAATTGAGGAAAAAATTATGTGTAGTTTTCATAGATCAACACATGAATATCGCCATGTGTTTCAATAATATAAGAGTATTATTAAATTAACAAAATAAAGGTGACGGAATTCTAACGTAAAAAACGTTAGAAATTCAAAATCATTTTCAGTTTTAGTTTCAACATTAGTCCAGATATGTCAATGAGATAGGATAATAAGTAATTATACTGTTGCATTGAAATATTACACACACATTTAGTGAGAACGTATGTGAGAGTATTCAGCTAGACCAACTAACTTCAAAAGAAGTATATCTCAACATCAAAGAAAAAACTTAAAAAAATCGATCATAATAAATATTATACGTATTGCGCAATAAAATTCGAAGAAAGAAAGATAATCACAAAAAAATTTGATTATCTTTCATTTCACAAAAAAAAACAGTTAATTGCAAGAATAAATGACTAACAATATCAGTTCTGCGTGAATAAAACATGAATGAAGTCATTACTATTGGACTTCACTAATAGATATTATTTTGTTGATTTAATTGGAGTTGGATTATTTAACTGTTGTGAGACTGATTCGCCAAGTACTCTTGTGCTTGATGTGCCACCGAGAATTTCTCTTCCACCTTGACCAGAAATATGACTTTCTTCTTCACCTTTCTCACCAGCTTCAGGTCGACGTTCTTTTTCATTTGTCGACGCATCTTCTTTTCCCACGTGAACTTCTCCAGAACCATAACCAACTTTATGTTCAACGTCAGTTTTATCTTTACTTGCCATTATCTTAACAGACAATTGATATTCTAACTGAATCTATAAAAAAGGAAAACAAATTGCTTTTAAAACAAATACCATAATTAGAAGATGAGCGACATAATTACGTAAGGATGAGCATATTATTTCTCTTAAGTTATTCGAAAAGAATAGCACTACTAATACAAAAGTTCAAAAAGAAACAAATGAATAGAGAAAACATCATAAATTGAATATATCTATATTTCATAATTTATTGCATATGAAGACGTAAAAAAATTGAATTATACTTTTTTTTACACAAACTAGTACGCTTATTACATCTATGACAGTGTCAAATAAAAGAAAGATATGTGCAGGAAAAAAACAGAGAGAAGAAGCGGAAAATGCATTTATGAAAACACAAAAGAAAAGAAAACGAATCAATCACTATCTTTAATAAGTAAAAACACAATAAAGAGTGCGAGGAAATAAAACAAACAGATAACAAAAATGGACCGAAAAATGCCGTTATTACTTTTATTCACATTGATAAAAAAGTGCGTTTATTCTGTAAACGCATACAGAGACATACTAGAAATGCAAAACATTTGTGAATGTAAAAAGATCATATTTTCGAGACAATTTATAACAAAAGTAAAGTAGAAAATGAAGTGGAGCAAAGATCATTTACTGTTGATGCAATAGCATCTCTTTACTTTTATTTTGACGAGCACAGAAAAAAGAAAAAAAAAAAACAACAGTCGTTTATTTACAATTTTAAAATAGATGGTGGTTTTTGTTCTTGTTCAATTTTAGTGTCATGTAACGATGAATGATTATGACGATGTGTTTCAACTTCGTCATCGTCACTTCCACCAGCGTCTAACGATGAATTTTGATTTGTTGAATAAGTTGTATTATTATTATTTGTATTATTCATATCTACATTTTGATTTGAATTTATTTTTAAAGAATTTTTTGAATTACTAACATTTGTATTCCGTTTTAAATTGTATGTGTCATTTGCTGGACGAACAGTTATTATTAGATTATGACTATTAGCTACCATCATATCTGTTACTTGATCTAACGTTTTACCAGCTACTTCGATACCATTCACTTCAATAATTTCATCTCCTACACTCAATAAACCCGTACTTTCAGCTAAACCACCACTTAATAAACGTGATATAAATACACCCGGTACATTTTCAATACCATTTGTTCCCATTTTAACAGCTACACCATCTCGAATATAAAATCCTAACGGTTTACTTTCTTTATATCGATGTAAACGAACACGACGATATGTAACAGGCAATATTTCAACATCAATGATGGATGAAACAAGACGAAAATCGGGTTGAAGTTCAATATTTAATTGTTGAGAACGTTCATTATAGTTATGTCTTTTAGATGAATCCGCATGAATTAATGATTGTATTTGATCCGATATTTTTTTACGTTTTCTTAGAGAATCTGTTGCATTTGTTGATTGATATGATTCACCTAAAGAATAACAAAAAAAAAGATTTGAATTAGAAATTACCAGTTGTATGTTACAATCGCTAATTTTTAATCGTACAAACTAACAAAAAAAGATTGAATTTATATGACAAGTACTAGTTGATAGCAAACAAAGTAGAATCATACAGATTCACTTCTCTTTCTAAATAAATGCTTGTTTATCTGACAAATTCATTCACCATTACGAAGAAAATGAAATCTCATTCTTTATGGAGTTAACTGTAGATCATCTAAGGTTAAAATATGTACCTTTTCGTTGTATAAATATTCGTAACAAACCAGGTGTCACACGTAATATGTGTTCAATAATGCTATCGTTGTTAATTGATAATAATTCACCATCTTTATCCAGGTATGTAATATTGAAGGGAATGTTTTGAAGGAAATGTAATTCTTCTAAAAATTTATAAAATTCGTCGTATCTGATATTTTTTGCTCGATCTAGTTCAAATCGACGAAATTCAGCACCAAACTAGAGCAATTAAAGAAAAAAATACAGAACATTATATTTAGTCTACATCAGGCGAAACAAATATCAAATACGTACTTTGCTTTTTGCTTCTAAAATCGACACCATTTTTTAGAATGTGTCGTTAATTATATTATTATGATCTAAAAATGATGACATAATTTAAACCAGTCTCTAATTGCAAATTCCAAACACGCGAGTGTACGTTGAACATCATAGGTGCTATAGCTAAAATAAACTTATTGAGAGCACACAGGAATAGAGCTCATTTTCCCACATAGTATTCAAACAACGGTTCGAGAAAAATTTGTCTAATCTGATGTTTTGTAAGTAAAAAATAACAAAAATTTTACGGAAAACAACAACTGCAGTTCAGTTGTTTGATTCACACACAAATGTAGAAATATCATACTTTTTCGATAGTCTCTGTTAATAGCGCTTTTCAAACGTTAAGTGTGTCCAACAAATCAACAACTCAATTTTTCTCAAACCATTGTTCGAATACTATGTCAGATGTAAAAGTTTAAAGACTTTTTGTACCTCATTGCTGACTTTCTTCATAGATGCCACCAGTCTGAAAGTTTCTCAAACAAATATTATATTTCGTTTAACTAGACAAGAGATAGTTGTTCGATGTATTGACACGAAACTGCTAAAAAAAAGACAAAGAATTGAATGTCACGGAGCTGTTTCTAACTGGAAATCTGAAGGCAGTTTTGATAAACAATCTCATTTTGCTTTCCGACAACACAGACCAGTTACTTTCTGCTGACAATCAGTGCCCATAACATCTCACAAATGTGTTTAGAAGAACACGGCAGCTCTATAAATGTATATACACGGCAAACATTATAAATTTTTTTTTGTGATGAAAGTATAATAGGGTCGTCACGGTAAAAATGTAGCGTTTGCTATTTCTCGTAACATTATCATAGTATCTCATTCCTAGTATAGTATGACATTTCGGCGGAACTAAACGTAGACTATGTACAGGTAATAGTTGTTTACTCAAAACCACGTTCGATGTGGAAAAGGACCAATGAAAAACAACTTTTTGGACTTTGTTAAGACTTTTGATTTTTTCTATCTCCCGAATAGTTCAAATTTTTCAACTCGATTGTATCTTTTGTATCGATACTTTTCGAAAATGCTAATATTTTAATTATGATTCGATTGGCTACTAGACGTCGCTAGATGAGAAGACTTTATTTGTGTCATATGAAGGAGTGAAGCAAAACATTGATTTTTATGCTTCTTTTAAGCTGAAAGAATCGAGTAACCAATATCAATATCTTATCTCCAGTACATATAAAATGTTTATGAACTTTTTATAGTCCAAGGCGTCCATACGGAATAGTCCTTTTGATCTCAATCTCGGTCAAGCGTCATTTTCATACTCAGTTTTTACTGCTGAACCCTGTTTCTCAAAAAAACTTAAACATTCCACTCAAGTGAATGTTTAAGAGAAAAATTAAGTAGTACTTAAGAGACACTCAAGTTTCCCGTTGAGTGCGTTTCTCAAAAAAACTTAAGTTAAACAGAGGTCATGCAGTAAAAACCACTCTTATTTTAACAAATTTCGATTATTTTTATGAAATTTTTTGAACAAGATCCTTCTATAATTATCTTCTATCTAATTATTGTGGGTCTGACTACGAAAAAACGTAAAATAAGGAAGTTACAAATTATAATAATTTTTCACTTAAAAATTAAGTGAAAACTTAAGGATAGTTAAGAAACACGCTTCTGAATCTGAAAAAGATACTTTCAAAAGGTCAGAAGCGCGAGAAAGAAGAATTTTTGAGTTTTTTCGAAACTAAAGGGCTTTTCGAAATTTTAGACTCTTCGACTTTTCAATTTTTCTTCCTTAAAGAGATTTTTTAAAAAATTAGAAACTACTTTTTCTTACTCAGCTTGATAAACTCTATTCAATCATGTATAATAAAACGAAAAATAAATTTTACTTTAATTTTGCATCATTATTAGTATTATATCTTGCCAGAACAGGTAACGTATGAATAATACATTTATTTGTGTTTGACGCACATATAGATATATACGAAGCCTTACCAGAATGGTTCTTTTTATGTAAAGTAAACAGGAAAGTTAAATGTAGAAAGAATTGTGATTTATAATAAACTATCTATCATATAACTGTGAATATATCTATTAAATTTCATCATCGCGATCCAAGAATGATCATGCTGAATTCACGATGGTCATGCTGTGCTCACAATTTATTCGCTATTCTTGTGCTGTTGTTTAACAGAAGTCGCGGATGTCATGTCACAAGCATACCTTTCTCGCGAATTCGCATCGCGATCGCGCATAAATCACTATTTTCGCGCCGAGACTCTTACTTCAAAACTCTCACCGCGGTTACTACATTCTCACGCGTTATTCTATTTGCGTTCTATCAGATGTTTGATTCCAGTTAGTTAACAGAACTTCGATTCTTGATCATACGACTCATATTTCTGGCTCCGTGTTCGTGAATATTGAATATTAGTCTTTGAATAAAAACTTAATAGTCTAAGCCATTATTGAAAAGACTGATATTCACTCATGGACACGGAACCAAAAATGAGTCGTATGATCAAGAAGCGAAGTTCTGAAAACTAACTGGAATCAAACTAGCGTTGAGTTTCTAAACCTCAACTTTATGCGTTATGTTTTACTCGGTTTTTTCTTAGAGAACATAGTACATTTAAGTCAGTACACAGCAATTCTATATATTATGTCAATTTCTCACAAGAGGTATGAAACTCAAGAAAGAAGGAATATCTAAATTAGATCAGAAAATATTCACTCTCAGACTGACTAAGTTCTTTCTTTCGTGTATTTTTTAATTTGGTTCGACATGTGACTAATATCTGATTCCAGAGTTAACAGTAAGATAGGCTGATGATGAGTATTATCCATAAGATAACTACTGACGTAGGTGAAGGAAACATTCACACTCGGAGTCACGGAAGATGAGATCAATATGATTTTGATGCTCAACACCAGTTCGTTGAATATTCTTTGCATAGACGTGGAAGAACTGTGCTCTTGTCAGATGCATACAGAGAATCGATACTAGTGTCTGCTACACCCTATAACGCACAAATGGTAGTAGATGTATTACATCGAGATTACTCATTAATATTATCAACCCTGATGATGCATTTCTCGCTTTGTTGCATTATTATTCTGAAACTTTGTCCAGTCAACGTAATTAATTGAGCCTATACAGAGTAAAATCGCTTACATTCGATGCTTTAGCTGAGAGAAAGTTTTTTATATTGTGAAAGTAAGTTTAGGAGAGCATCAAATAGTTTAACTTCACTACAACAAAAAAGGGATCAACATTCCTCACTTTCGTTTAGAAATTGCTGTGTGCATACCTATGAGTTTATTTATTTGCTTAAATAAATAAATTGGGAATCAGTAGTAATAAAGGCTACATAAAAAAAACGCACGTAAAAAGCTCTTTACTCTACTGTAACAAGATCCAGGTAGATCCGTCCCTGTCTCGCTGAAGATGCATTTCTGCTTGAAACATGTGCACAATAAAATAATGTGTTGTGAACGTGTATCTCACAGAAGAAGTTAATGATTTTGTTACATTCTAAACAAATAAAATATCGAGTATTTGGTAGCACAGCTGGATTGATACTAATGAAATGGACTGCTGACAAAGATCCTGATGCATTTAGAAAATATTTTGAAGACCAGTGGTTTTTATCCATCTACCAGTAACGGTCTTGAATCGTTGAATGGTAAAATCAAACAAATGTACACATTACATAATAAATTGCCTTTGTCATTATGGTTGCAAACAGTTAAACGTACGTTGTATGACTGGTCATTAGCAAGTACCCGTACATCATTTGCTCTTCAAATTGAATTTAATAATAATTTAAAACTTAGAACATATCAATGGTTACAAAAATTTGATCAAACACAAGTGTTACATTTAGGTGCAGCTAGTTATGTTGTACCTTCTTCTGAACCAAAAATGGATACATTATTATGGCTATAACATTATCATAGTATGTCTTAGAATTCGTATGATGAATTTTATCGACGGGTTAAATTCCGCACGTTTAGTTAATTTTTCTCGTTTAAGCCCATCATTATTTTGTTCATGTAAATATGACCTTAAAGAATATTCTTGCGTTCATTCATTGGACTTAATAATGATGTGGAATCATTGTAAAGTTCCACAGCCACTTAGGATAAGAAGGAGAAAAGGTCGCCCAAAGAAAGTTAAATTAGCTGTAACAAAAGACTGAGTATTAGTGAAAAATTATTGTAATATAGCTAATTTTTTTCTTACTAAATACTTGCTATTGATAAAATTATTAATTAATTTTCATAAATTAATTGAAGTCATTTCTCTCTTTTTATCGACAAAAATAAAATTAACCGAGTTCATTTGTATCTTTTCAGGGTATAAATTAATTTCTGAGCTTAAAACGGTTATTTATATCAATAAAATATGCTTTTATTACAACCGAGCTCATTTATCATTTTATCCAGTACAAAATGTTTATACAAAAAAATATCACTAATGTTATTCAATCGAATACTCAAATCATGACACCTACTTTCAAAAACAAAAAGAGATAAGACAACACTATTTGTTGTTTACAAAAAAGAAAAGGTAATAAAGGAAAAAGACATTTTTTGGATACAAAATAATGGGAGGAAAAAAAAAGAGTATTTCATTTTGCACCGGCTGATCTTTAGTAGGGGCGTAGCCGTAGCGGTTGACGTTCTGAACTGTCAACGGTATTTTATCAGTTGAAATCCACTGATGTTGGGTGAAGATCTCTTATCTATCAAAAATATTTAAGAAACTTACCTGTTTTTTCCGTTTTCTGCCTCTTTTCTTCAATTATGCTTCCTTCTGAGATTAAAATGGTTAGTAGTGAGCCCGTCTACTTATACTGAACTCTAATATAACGACATAATATTTTACGTTGACAGTTCAGAGCATCAACTGATGAGATGCAGTTGACAGCTCAGAACGTCAATGGCAAAATCGTTGCCGTTCCCATTCAAATTTTTGCCAAATCAACGTGCACGGCTACAGCCCTAATATTAAGAAGAAAAATTAATGAAAATTAACATTAATTAGTAATCAAAGAAAAACGATCTAAACAAAAATATCTCGGTTAACTAAAAACCATAATACAGATCCGTATCGTATACTGTTCCTTGAACAAAGTATCATTTGAACTAATTCAAAATAAAATCCAAAAATAATTAGTGTGATTCTATTTTGAATGAGTTTAAGTGTCATTAACAGATAAATATATGGAACTGTATTCAGCGTATATTTAAAGTAAAATCAATTTATTTTGTTTTTATTTAAAAATGTTCTTTTTATCGCAGAAGTAAAACGCATGAACACTTTATTTCATACGTTCTATCGTGATAAAAACAACTTTTTTAAATTAAAACAAAAATTATGATTTTCAAATGTCTTTTTGGCTAGAATAACTATACTTGTACAGATGAGAAAAAATTTAAGCTTGTGATTGTTGGTTGATCATTATATCAGCCACCGCTGTACGACACGCATTAAACTTCGCTTTTTTCTTGTTTTTTCCACATCCTTCATACGTTCTATCATCCGTTAATTTTACTATGTATTGTGCAAGATTTTGTTCATTTAAACCACAACTAAAAAAGGAAGGATTTTCAAAACAAATCAAGGTAATGGAATGGCATGCATGACTAGGTCTTATATGGTGAAAATGGCAATCTCATAAACAATCAGCAGGGATGAGAGTGAAAAATTCGAAATACTTGCCGGGTTTTTCAGGTGAGTGCGTAAAAGTTTTCAGGTTTTTTCCAAAAAAATTCAGGAGGCCAAAACACAGTTTCATTCGGCACATTGAGCTTTTGTAACAGTGCTTTAAGGATATAATATCCTTTTGAATTTAACTTTTTATCACTAACTTATGAGTTGAACGTCTTAAATCTAGCCTATCTTGTTCAGTTTTTTCTGTTCGTTCGATTCATGTGTAACTCGGATTTTTAAAATGGGAAATAGAACAAGAAAAAATTGAAATATGACAAAAGTCTACTTTTTCGATTTTCAGGTTTTTCTAAACATTTCATGTGAAATCTCCGCCTGAATCAGTATGAAAACTGTTTTATTGATTTGGAATGTTTTACTGAAGATTCAGTTCCCAATATTACTAACAAAAAAATACTTACTCAATTATGTTTCCTCCGTACTCTGTAATATATCTTACAGGATTCAAATTTGGACTACTGATTGATTTTTCTAGAATCATAACAAAACAAATTTTTCAATATATTAAATGGTAAAAATGCTTATTTACCAATATAGTTTCGCATAAATGGCTCTATCACTCGCCATACTGTTTGTAGTGAATTCTGAGAATCAAGAAAAATGGCACCTACGATGGCTTCAAAGACGTCGGCGAGTGCTTTTGGAGCAGTTGCATCTGCGTATGCAGCAATGTCCTAAACACATGATATAAACATATAATTTATCAATATAACAAGAATGCATACTTTATCCAAACGATCGTGTAACGTTTCAGAATGTTCAAGTTGTGCATAAGACGATATTTGTTGAAATAACGTTGTAGAATGATGTAAAATGTACCGAGAGAGACCAAGCGCAACGAAAATATAGGCTAAACGACCATTATTTGCTAAATCTTGACGAATATCAGTAACGGTACCTGAAAAAGATGTAGTGGATTGTGAAAAAAAGTCTTTTTATAATTATCTAGAGATAAGTTCAACGATCAATGTTGCTTCTTTTTTATACTTGGAGTAATTGTTTTGTTCTTCATGAATATTTCTCTTGTTACCAGAAAATCGAGCACTGCATCACCCAAAAATTCGAGTCTAGAATAGAAAATACGAACATAGTTAAATATAAATATGAATTTATTTCTATACAAAAATATGTTCAGTGTTATTTTAATCCACGAAAAATGCCAGAGGATATGTTAATCGGTCCGACTTATTGATTTGATACTTAAATTCTTATCATACGGTTTATAATCAAGGTTAATCATAGTTACTTACCGTTCATAACATAGAGTCAGACGATTGGCAAAATTCGACGGATGTGTAAATGCAGCAATAAGATAGGCTTTATTTTTGAATCGATAATTTAAAATTTTTTCTACATTTTGAAAATTATTTTTTTCATAAAATGATATGATTAATTGTTCTATTGCTTCAGAATGATCGCAGCAAATAATCGATGGTAAAGCTGCAATTGAATCTAATAAAAATAAGAAGAGGAAAATCTCTTATCAAAAAAATACCTATTTAAACACATACCGTTCTCATCTTTTGGAAATACATTCAGACCTAACCATTCCATCAATTTCATTGCACAACCATATCCACTCGTGATTAACGTAGCACCAATCATAGCCTCCAACATGTCTGCAAATGCTTTTCTTTTCGTAACTTGTTTTGTATAACATTTTGAACCCAATGTATAAACATTTTTTTTATCATCATCATCGATCATTTTATTACAATTATCATCGTTAACTATATAACCAGGCGGCAACCAGTTGGCATCTTTACCACGATAAACAATTTTTTGTGCATACAAATAACATTTTAATTTTTTTCTAATAACACATCGATATAATGTGGCATTTGAAATGAGTTTTGTTTTTGCCACGGTTAAATAACCAGCATTTTCTTGAGGATTTTTGTAATACATTGACATTGATACGGCTAATTTTAAAAAACAATCACCCAGTATTTCTAAATTTTCCATATCAGTGTTTTCACCAGTTGAATGTCGTGTACAAACTTGAAATAATATGTCAGATGTCAACTGTTCAGCATCATTTATATTTGTTGTCGATATCAATGTATCATATGTTAGATCAACAAGAGGTAATTGTAAATATTTCCGCTCGAACTAAAAGAAAAGAAAAAAAAACAATAAAAAAAGCGATAAGTTATGCAATCTGAACCTAAGAGTAGAACGATATATTGTAGTAAAAGATTGCTATATCTATATATCTTACCGTTTGTACTGTTGTAGTATGATTTTGATTAGTGTCAACGTCTAAAAGAACAAAAAATAAATAAATTACCAGGAAAAAGTGAGAGCCAGCCGGCATATTTTTATATTTACTATCGTTCGATAAACAGTCTCGAAATTTTACAGTAGCCATTTGCTGACCATCCAATAGCTGAAATAAAAATAGTACAATAAGTACAAAATTTAGATAGTCGTATAGACTAAGTTATTTGGTGTTCAAATATGTGGGAAACTCTGGCAATAATACTGACAATTAGTCATCACCTTCTTTCTTTCCTTGTTCATAAAATGTGTCATTTTATTCATTTTCCTTCTGTTCATCTTTTTTCAACTTTTTCAAAAAACTTTCAAGTGTCGTTCGCTGATCAAGCAAAATTATATTCAAACTTTTATTGCAACAGCACTAATGCAGTTGAGTCTTATGCTTTATATCTCGATTGGGATATATATCCCGATCAGGATATAGCCAAAAAACATATTGCCCAATCGGGATATAAATTCGATTTTTTTTAAATAAAAGCCTTTAGCGAAAAGATGATAATGTTCGCGAAAAGATGATAAAAATCTATACTCCGATCGGAATATAGCCGAAATTTCTTCCACTGTAAAAATGTTAAATATATCCCGATCAGGATATATATCCCAATCGGGATATGGTTCTCTACTGTAATGTACTGTCACATAACTATTTTGTTTAATAAATGCTCACTTTTGTACACTATCATTACCATGTGTTTATTAATATTCCTCTCAACTCATGTATATTTGAAAACAAAGGCTTAGTTAGTCCTACAATAAGACGAAAAATTGTTCAAAAATATTTTATATTTCAATCGATAAGTTAATAAACACATGGTATCTAGTTGATTAAAACTAAGAAAGACATCGATTTTATCAATTCAACATTTATTTACTTTGTAATGATTAAGCTTATCACAAATATGTTTTCGTAATTTTTCAATATGATATAATTGTGTAATACGAGTAAATATTGATGGCACTTTATTGAATAATTGATAATCTTTTTTGTTTAAAAGACCATAAGTTAATAATTCAACTGGAATATACATAGCTTCATGTTTCGTTGTTCGTTTTTTCTTACTAGTAATGTCATTATCACGAAATAAAAAATTAATTGTCAATCTACCAAAAAATTGTACACATGCCATGGGCCATTCAGGATGATTAAGTTTTAAATTTTTATATTTCTCTTCATAATAGTCAATAAATCTTTTACCACTATTATCTTTATCAAAAGCAGTTTTTTGTTGATTTTGACATTCGTTCGTACAGAGAACATAGGATATTTTTTGTTTCTTCGATTGTTGTGAAATTTCTTCTTGAAAAAGTGGCGGTTCATACATGTAAACATCATCTTCATTCAAATCTGTATAGTGTTTTACGTGTTTTTCTGCTCGTTGACATATCGTAGCCATACGATTAATATCGATTGTATTCCCTAATTAAAAATGAAATAATATAAATTTTTTAAAAATTTAAAATTTTTTTTTTTATTTACATTCGGTTAATAAACAAGGCATCATTGTATAAGACGAATTGTCTGCATCATATTTCAACTGTTGTTTATCAAAATTAAAAACTTTTTCAAATAAAAATCGACAAAATGTCTCAAATTCGTTTTTATATTCATTATAATTAATTTCTTCGGCATAGACAACTTCAACGATGTATATATTGTCTGTGTCATATATATTAAACCTTGGTAACTAAAAGAAAGAAAATATATAAAAATCAACATAAGTGAATGACACACCGAAAAAAAGTTACTTCCTTACGTTAGGCATTTTACATGGTACAGCAAATCCTAGTACATGACTGAAGACAGTTTCCATTTGTGTACTGATTATTATTCGATATAAATGCCAACAATTATCGCTTTTATTTTGTATAGACAATTTAGCAATCTTAAACACAAAACAATACGATAGAAACTAAGTGTATTAACTAGAGATGATGATCCTCCATAACGTGAATAAGCAAAAGAGTTATGACAACGACAAAATATGTTTTAATCCTTCCGTTCATACGTTTTTATCGATTATTTGTGGAGTACTTTCATTGCGTTTGTCAAATAAATTATCACATAGTCGAAACAGTTGTTCTTCAAATGATGGATTCATTTCCATCTTACATCTACGAGGTAAACAATGTTCATTGAATTCACCCTTCTCATACAACAATTCCACCATGGCTAAACAACATCGATATTTTGCTAAACTTTTGCTTTTGTCTGTGCACTAAATAACAAAGAAATAGTATAATACATTTTAGTTCTCTTCACATATTTTTTTTCTAATCATCATAGATAAAGATCATGCTGAAGGAGGCCGTCGCTATTATAAAACAATTTGTAAAAACTAAAAGCGATTAAAAACTTAGAATACTTACTATGACATCTTTCCGAATTGGACAATTAGCTGGCAGTGTTAAAACGCATGTAAACGGACCTATACCGTTAAATAAAATTCTTATTGGGAATATTTGTCCACCACCGAGCGTTGCACAATATCTATAGAACAAACGAAATGTATTTAGCTAATTTATGTTGAAGAATTCTAGAAAAACAGATACTCACTCGTGAATAAGCCGAACAGCCCGTGTCGCATCAATCCTAATACCTTTATCTGTTACATAAGGTGGAAGTGTGTCAGCTTCTTCAACATCATTATTGAAATCACTTGATCGATCGTGAAATCCATCTTTTAACATCTAGACATACCGAGAATAAGCTGCTGTATTAATACTGTTAATTCTGTATTATGCTTATTCACTTTTTCAATTTTGTCATATTCCTGGTATTCTGCTTCTTCTTTTATAGTTGAATTATCATCATTTGACATAAATAAAACATATGATGCATTTTGCTTGGCTCGAGCTCGCCCCTAGTGGAAAAAATAATCCTAAAACGCTTGCTACTATACAGCAAAAAAAGTTTACCTTAGATTGCATATATGAACTGAAATTATTTGGTTTATTAAATCGAAAAACCAAATTACACTGCGGAATATCCAAACCTGCACAAATGAAACACATATCATAAAAATTTTGACAAAAAAACAGAAAATAAAATAACCTTCTTCTATTACAGACGTTGCTATCAGAACATTGATATTTCCAGTGCGAAAATCGCTTATTAACTGGCGCTAAAATTAAAAATTTGTACTGGTTCCATGAAATTTAATTGTTATTGTAAGAAAATGGAATCTTACTTGATATTTCGCATTCATGGGCAACTCAATACCAAATGATTTAGTTCCCGCTATATGCTTTGGTTGAATACAATTATATTCTGGATATAATTTCTGACACATCGTACTCAATAACTGAGATAAAATAATGGCTGTACATGTCCTTTCGACGAATATAATGCATCGCATGGAACAGGAAGAAGAATCATAACTACACGTTGATAATGTTTGAGCATATTGTAAAACAATATGTTCCAATAGCTTCAAAACTTTGTTGCTATATAATAAATCGTAATTTGTTGGGTTTATTTCAATTAAATTGAACAAAACGTCTGTTAGAAGGATAATTTTTTCATATACACTCGTAATCAATTCTTTCGACGACTCATCATTATTTTTTAATTCATCATTCAAATACGACCATAAATGCTTTTTCAAATGTACCGATGCTAAATAAAGTCCAATTAAGCCTAAATCGTCGCCCATATGTTTAATATTATCAATATGTCGTTTTAATGCTGGCACAGTAATACATTGTGATTGCTGAAGTTCCATATACTTTGCTGACTGTACATTATAATTGTACATATTTGAACGACGATAATCGGTAGATAAGATTAATTCACTTAATTGAAGTTGTTGTTCATCGAGTTTGTTCTGATATTGTGTGCAATATTGTTCAATATCAGAAGATATCGTATTTAACATCTAAATAAAACAAAATAAAAATACTCTCTACGAAGATCTCAGAACTACTTCATACTTCAAATGCAACTTGTACGGTGTTCTGTTCGTATGGCGCATACCGAATTTTCATGATATGTGCCGAGGTTCCATATCCCCGACTTTCCTCTCGAGATGATCCACTTTCCACGCGTGCTCTACAAATACAGTCAAAGAAACTTTAACCAATCAATACCGTTTGTAATGTTATTTCAAAGGACTAAAAACCTATTCTTTAATAAGCTGTCAGTTTCTATACACAATTCAGTAGGTACCACAGTATTTGTCGAAGGTACAAACAAATAAATAATGAGAAACAATTTATAACTCCAGGTAAATCAAACCGCAGGTATAGAAATCGTGTCTATTCACCTTAGTATAGTTTCCAACAGTTCCATTACTTCTCGAAATTTATCGGCCTTAAGTTTTTTGGATGTTATTGATGCTGTAAGACCCAATATACGTGGTTGAGGAGAACATTTATCATAATACCCGTTCATTAAAATCGCATATGGATCTTTACCCGTTGCATGATGACATTCATCAAGGATCAATAAATTTACTTGTGATAATACTGCAAAAATAAAATCTGTGATATACACTGGCATATATAATTCTTTAGAGCCAATGGATATTTACAGAAAAACTTGTGTTCTATTACATCAAGAAATATTTGAGCTGTCATTACAAGCACTTGATGTGAATTGAATTCATTATTCCATTTTTGTTTATCCCATGCGTCAGTATTTAATTCACCATAATATTTTCCCACTCGCATATTAGTATGTAAAGAGATATAATCACCTTGCTGATCAACAAGTGGCACTAAAACACAAATGACTAATATGCTAGTAAAAGATCAGTTATCCTCGAAAGAAAAACAATTACCTTGTTTAACGAGAAATATTGTTCTTTTACCACCATCTTTAATTGTCAAATTTGTTGATGTTGATAATTCTTTGATAAGCATTACGGATATATAAGTTTTTCCACTTCCTTCAATTTACAAAATCTAAATTGAAAAGAGCATCGTTCTCCTTATAGATATTCATACCAGTCGGTAAACAGACGATTAAATTGTCTTTAGTTGCCTGGTCCATCATCTCCGTCTATAATCAATTCAAATGCATAATATACGCACACACGCACACATTTATGAAGTTAGTTAAATACTTGATATGATCGAGGAAGTACACATTGACTGTTAGAGTTCTGTTGAATAGTTGTTTGCCTATTCATTTCTATAAATGAAGAAAGTTAAAAACTATTGCATTGATACAAACAAAGTAAATAGACACTCAATAAATGTAACAACTAACTCAGTCAATGAAACAAAGTATTTTTATTAGCAATTAAATACATTGTTAATGTGCATAGACTAATAGAAAACTTTGTAATTATGTGCAGTAACACAATCAGGAATCTCGATTGGTTTTTGGCCAGAGAGGAGTTAAAATTTTCGCGGAAAGTTAAGGCAAAAATTCTCATAGAAAGTCCAAAACCCAGGGCACCTCCTGTCCCTCCAAACACATCGAATCATGAAATTATTACAGTTCTTGCACTCAACAGCTATAATGATTTCGGATCACCGCACCTCCAAGAGACAAGTTATTAATTACGGCAATTCACAGCTGATAGCTGAGCGTTTGCATATTTAATTTCGTAAGACCACACAAAGTTCGCTAAAAAAGCATGGACACACTAATGTTCAGTTAAATTTCATCTTACTAGAATGGCACTTTCGTAATGGAACAGGAAAAGTACTGACAGATATCTGTAAAACAGTTTAAAAAGTAATATAACTTTAATGTTCTTATTCTACGCTATAATTAGGATATAAAGTTCAAACACAATGTGTATATGTAGTTCTTAGCTAAAATCTTGTAGAGACCATAAACCTGCTTTGTTTCTTACCATACATATTCGCTTCACATACGTTCAAATGAGCACGTTTCATTTAATTTAATTCAAATTATTCTCTTCTAGCTAGTATATAGATACAGTGAAAATATAATTTCAAAAGGAGATTTAAACACATTACATAGATAGAAAACCCAGTTTTTTATCGTTCTTTTACTCTTTTTTTTTCTGTTCTGCTTGTTGACAATAAAAACTTGCAAATTCTGTACTAAGCCAATAAAAATATATCCCAACGCTTAAAATACCCGAAAACTTCTAAAAAATCCGTAACCCATATATATTCATGAATCACAGTTATCGTTTCATTATTTTTTAAGGGCAATAGCGCCATTTTAAACGGGAAAAATTGATGATTAGCGGGAAATAAGTATTCCCTATAGGAACTTCTTCAATCAAAATCTTGGTAAGCAAATGTAAGAAGTTAAAGAAATGTCAAGAACCCAAGATCTTGAACTTCTTGGAATTTCTTAGCTACTTGTACCCAGGGGCGCCCCGATACCTCGGAGGCAGGAGGGGGGATCGAAGTCAATTTCGGAGTCAATTTTTATGCTTTTAAAAATTGGAGTGCAACTAAAGAAAAAAAGATAAATATTCTAATCAGTTTTCTTCTAAAGCAAGATTGAATTTTCTTCTATCTAACTCTATTTACTTCAACACAAAACCTTATAATATAAAAGTACATTTACTGAAGCCATGATACAGTTTATTCTACTTATCTAATTTACGTACATGACAGGACACGAAAATGAATGAGCCCGGAAAAAAGAGAGAATTGATCCCGGTTGCCTTAATTAACAAAAAAAAGACGAAAATAAGCCCGGTTTAAAAAATAAAAGATTTATCTTCATAAAAGAGAGAAATGGGTTCGATAATTTAGATTTGTTAAAAAAATAATCAATTTAAGAGCATTCGTTTAAAATCAATCTTAGAGGCGCGTATATAAATTCGTGATTAAAATTAAAGATAGTCATAATAAGTAATTGTGTACATAAATTATAAAAATGAGAAGATATCTGGAATTGATATTTTTTTCTACAAGCTATGTCTCTAAGATTATAGGGTGATTGTTCTACATGTACTACTGAAAACGATCTAAAAGTTTTTGTTTGAGAAAAAAATGTTTCTGCACATCGTACTGAGGAACTTACAAACTGTGTATCTATAACATATATGTTGTTTTGGTCGAAAGAAATATTTATGTGTTCATACAATCGGTTTAATGATTATATCGTGTTTTAA